GAAAGAAGAAGAGCAAAAGCCAGGATGGGGGCAGAGAGCTTGCTCATCTGATGGACGTGGCTGCTGTTTCCTTTAAGTGCTGAGTCAATGTGCTGTGAGTCATATGGTTTATCCTAATTGAACGACACTCAGCACTGTGGTGAGAGCCAGCACAAAACCTATACTCCGTGCAAGCCCTACTTACCTGCTCCAAAGAAAGCCTCAAAAACCTGTGGATACTCAGTTTAACAGCCCCAAGCAGCAGCAGACACACAGCTCCTTAAACTCTATTCCTGGACATCCAGCTCCCAGCACCCTCGCAAATGGTCCTCCAGCTCTCTGCTGGGCGAGTATGCAATATTTGCAAATGTGCAAATGGGCCAGTAAATGTGCAAATGCCAGTAACCTCTGCCTGTGCAAAATGTGTTAGAACAGCATGAAAAAAGAGCATGAAAGAGTATGATGGTGCCTAGACCTCTGTGCACACATTTTTCTTTTTAAGTCAAAATGAATAAGTACAATACGCCTAATTTACACAGTTACATTTTTACAGCTGTAGAAAACTCACACTACAGGGGAGAACTTCACCAAGAGCAAGGACTTCCTTTTGGGACTCTGGGTCCTGAGAAGCAAGGCTTGTTTTGGGCCAGAACAGTCTGGAATAGTGTGCTGGAATTGGTTTAAGATGTCTGCACGTGTACATTAGACTTTTGGCACCTCCTTAGTCACCCCATTAGCCTCCGTCAGAAGTAACCTGGACCATCTGTGTTTTCTGCCTTTGCAAGAGCTGCTGCACCTCTGTCCAGGAGCAAGGCAGGGACCTTCCAAGCACTCACTTTGGGGGTGACAGCTCACCTATTTGCAGCTGCAAGGAGGTCATGCCTTACAAAGGCAGAAATGTGAGAAGGTTCTACAATTAGACTGTTCCCATTTTTACTATTATTTTTAGTTGGTGGCAGATGAAGTGTAAAACACTCACGTCCAGACAAAAACTCCTTTTAGCACTGTGGTGGCAAGGCAAAAGGAGGTGCTGGAAGCTAGTTAGCATGGAGACACACAGCATTTTCCTCTTGGCAAGCAGTTCCTTTCCTCTTTTCTGTTTTACTCAGGACTGGAGCATTTTCTCCTTTTCCCTTGACTTAGATCACACAGCACATACCTGATATCATTTATCACATACCCACAGTCTCCCAGGACACATTAGCTTGAAGGCTTCAACATCCCAAACAGATAATATGTTTAAGAAAATTAAATAAGTTAAACGAGACGGTTCCTTCTACCTCTGCTTTCAGCCCTACAGAGGCACTTATAGGGCACATCCTCAGCTTGGAGAGGAAGGCCAAGCAACTGGCTCTTATGTAGCTGCAGGCACTCCCTGGTATTTGCAGTAAGATAAATCTCTCCTCATCACCTCATTTTGCAGCTAAGCTGTATAGGCCTGTTTCCACAGTCTTGGGATTTAGGGGTGGGCCAGTTTTCATCATAGCCTAAGACTTCTGCGCTCTCCAA